TCTAGTTTCGATTTTGAAAACTGTTTGGGGTCTACGGTGGTGTAATTTTCTTTATTGGGGAGGCTTTTAACAAGGTACTCGGGATTAGTATCTTTCTGGTAGGCGAATCATAATGTGGCCGGCCGACCCTGGTCACAAACGGAATTGAACCAACAGTGGTTATGGCCTAGCCGCTCAAGAATGAGGGAATGCACAAAACCACCACTCTGTGGCCCTGTGATTTCCGGTGACTAGAGAGAAATGCATGGAATCCCGGAGGTTGTTGGTTGGGTCATTGGGACTTCCTCATTGCTGGCGGTGTACACCAGCCAGTCGTGCAGCACTCAAGAGGTGAACTGTTTGCCACGCGGAGCTGACATACAACAAAATCAGGATCTTGAACACATGGATTCAATAATTGAGCTGCAATAAATTGAGGCTCCTGAATTCAATAACACCACTTCAGCAGTTCTTTTGGGAGCCTCCTCCACACGGACCAACTGCTAGCATCGCCATCTTGGACTTGCTTGGCCATATGCGGCCATTGCTTATTGCATATTTCAGCCTTTGAGGGAAATCCTGATTCATGTCACCCTCTACCGCAAGGGTCTTGCCGAGGGCCGAACCGCCGCGGCGAGGCCCGGAAGAACGGCGCCGACGCGGCTTTTGCAACGTTGCCTTCCACGGAACAGCCTTCACCATGGAGACAAACAAGGGGTCCATGAGCTCCAGCACCTGCTCCACCACATGCTCCGCAGCTGCCTGGCTCGCCGTGGCGGTCCTCGCATTGGTGATTTCCGTCAGCAAGGGCCGCATCTGGGAGTAGTAGTAACTCACCTGGCAAAACAAGCGCGCCGCAAACGGAGGGGTCACCCTCTGTGAACCATAAACTCCACCAAGAACCTCAGAGTCCACCATTCTGGTGAACACCCCTAGTGAAATGCCGTTTCACCCTGAATTCACACTGGTTCCAAACAATCGAAACTAACATCAAAAACATATTTTTAATTGGAGGTCCCAAAGACTCCTAGTCACTGGCCCTGGGACGCAACTGGTCGGCAACTAGGTTGCACCTCATACATCTGGTGCAGCGTGCACACTTGGTCCAAGACCTCACCATCACCGATGTAGGTCGCGTAGGTCGACATCAACGAACGAACGAAGCAACAAAAAGAGTGACCACTAATTGACGACGAATGGAGCCAAACGATACATTTCAAAAACATTCAAAAACTATCGATGAATTCGTGAACATGACAAAAATAGCCCCTGCCTAGGGAGGCCGCCCCTGGGGGGCCCTGCTCCATTAATTAATTCATTAAGGGGGGTAGGCTAATTAATTGACCCCTTGTAACGGGTGCTGATAAATAACTTGTACGAAAATTACTCGACCAAGTATGCATAATTAATATAATTAATCCTGAGGGGGCGGGGGGCGAACCGGTTAATTATTTGAGGTACCTTGGATTAATTGTTGTGCCTTGTAAATATCTGCCAAGAAGTGCAACGACAAAGAGCAACCACAAATCAAGGACCTGTTGACAACTGACCCACCCAATAAAAAACACAGCGCGCAAACATCTTCAATTTGTGTATTATCTTTTGTGTATTCTCTCTTTGCTTCAACATCTTTGAACGTCTTCCTCATTTCTATTTGAACACGCAAATGCAGGAAATTAATTGATAGGTGTGTCAGGTCTGAATGACTAGTTGTTTTATTGAGACTGTTTTCAAGCACATCTCATCAAATCTGAATACCACTGATTTACAATTTCTTATACCAATTATTTTTTGGTCTTCTGCAAGGCCCCCCGTCCAGCAGCAAATGTTAACTTAGGTGAAATTAATTCCGGAAATTTAATTCTGGACTGAGTAGGGGACCTGAATGAATTTTCTAGCGCTGGGGCTATTGACAAAGTATACGTTTCGGGCGCCGCGTTTCGGAGGGGCCCCTTTGAGACGGCCAACAATTCCTATAGCGTTCCATGAAACAATATGAACGCATCACGATTCCTTCCCTGGCTGCAAACTCCTATGTCTCATCTTGTGCTGCATTCGAGCTTAGGACAGGAAGATTTCAGGTTTCCTGCCGCCTTCATTCTGTAGCTGAGGTCTCGTGTTTCCACCAATAAAAATAGCAAAACAATCGATTTAAAGTAAAGACCACGGTGGCCTTCCTTCTGAGAGACTTCTGAGAACCAACTGTGCGGCCAGGATGCTGGAAGCCCTACAAAGGCAACACCCTCAATGATGCCGCGGTGGGAGTCTTCGAAGAGGCTCTTGGTCTGTCTGAATGCTTGCCTCAGAGGTTGGAGACTGGTCACTCTGCGACCCAGGTAGCCCCAGCGTTTGCACTTTCGATAGATGGTCCAGGTCCTTTCAATTCAATCCAAGCCAACACCTGGCGTAATGCGTATAGGTGCCTAACAAATGCTAACGTCCAAATTGATGTAGCGGAAAGCCCGCAAACACGCGCACAAACACGACGCTACATATCTAAGTTCTGGGTGTGAGCGAAAATGGTGTACATAGGGGCAACAGGAAACTGCGTAATGCATACATGACTATTATTGAATAGTTGAATACTGTTGAATAGTTGAGTTATTTTCTCTCACGTCAAGGCGTGCTGGACTGTTCAACCCTTGACTTCAATCATGCACTTCAAAGGCCAAGGCCATGTCCGCACTCAACTGCTCCTTTGCAGCAAGGCGACATGTTGTAGGCCATTGAGGCACCTTGTGACAGAAACAAGACATCCTTGGCCATCCGTTGGATCAGTGACCGCTGGCGCCCAGCGACATCGACCACAAGTCCTGAGTGGACCAGGCTGGTGGAAGAGTATACTGGTGAAATGGTCCAAAGATTGTGCCCATACCATCCCATACCCACTGGTTGCTAGATTGTGAGATGTTACTAATACACTGGTACAGTCTGCAAATCCATGTGATCCGCCGCGGATCCACCCTGAAAACACCACTCCCAGCTTAGCCCAACCGCAAGTGGCAACTCAATTGTCTGGGAGTGCCGTGGACCAACCGTATACCACTCCCAGCCCCAGAGATTGAATCTGAACTGCATTCTGGAACAATCGCGGACATGGATGGCGTGACCCCTTGGATGACCATTGTCCTCTACAAACAATTTGCAGAGAATCACTTGGAACTATGAACATATTGTTTTATTACTTTATGTTCTTTTGCGCCCCACTCGAATGCACGCATGGCAGGTTTCAGTGGTTGAACCGCTTGAGAATCAACCACCCTCCAATTGGATTGCTTTCTGGTCTCCGTCTTGCGGGATCTCTCTTGGCTTGCAGTGGCTTGCAGTGGCTTAGCATGTCGCTTCCCCAAAACTGCCCCAACACCGAACGCGGTCCACGGTCTCGACCGGGTCTCCGCTGGTGGCCTCACCCGCGACCTTGGCCGCGTCCACCAAGGTGCTCACCACATGGTCTGAAGCATCCAGCCTCACGGCAAGCCATGTGGAGACCAAGTTGGTCAAGCGTTAAAAACCCGGTTAAAAGGTTTAGAAGGTTTGAAAGACTATCTTCCCCCTACCAGGTGGGGTTAGTCTGGGGAGTTATCATATACATAGCCTCATATAGCATCCCTTTATGACAATGATCACTTTGGCATGACACGATACAAACAAGTCAGCTTTTTGTTGGAATCTTGGACAGGCCTAGGGATCATCCATCGCGTGTTTCACTGTAGTTCTCTTCACCAGTTGATTTTGCATCATCATCATCATCATCATCATCATCATCATCATCATCATCCTCGTCAAACAGAAGTGTCAGGACATGTGACACAATTGTCATGCCTGGGGGAACATGTGTCCCCTCCGCACGCTTGCTTGGGGGGTTTTAAACAGTGGCATGCAGGGCGAGCATGATCTTCAAGGCCAACTGTCACCTCCATCCCAACTAGGGGGGACCAAGCATTCCAGTAGACACTACCTGTATGACATTGTGATGGGGATGCTGTTCATGGTGATTGGAACCAACCTAATATTGAAGCAAAATGAAGCAAACTGCAGGATAAACGGATAAACAGCATGTCTCTGGAAACAAACTTCTTGAGGCTCCGGCAATGGCACGTTCAAATATGCCAGTTCCTCCAGCACTCTCATGTTGACCAAGCCTCACACCCGTTGGAGGGGAACACTAGCCACGGCTGTGGTTCAAAGCAGCAGCCAAATTCAAGCAGTTCACACAGGGATCTTCACTTAGCATGTTTTTTGGGTATCTAGTCGTGATCCACACCTTTAGACACACAAGCAACTACGATGAAAGCGCCTTGTGCAATTATGTTTTCTGCAGGGTTACAATGAGGGAACTTCATTCTATCTCTAACTGGAGGAGCATGCCGGTCCATATACAAACTCATGCTTGTATAGACCAACATGTATGGACCAAAATCTATGGTAGCGCTTGGCAGTGGAACCCACTGAGACCTGTTGGTGCGGTTGACGCTCTCAAGTTAATCACCAAATGATGACGGTTGGTAAAGGCCCTTCTTTATCCTTCTCTAAAATAGTGATAATCTTGTACCGACTGTTGGTGGCAATGGGAGACGCGCTATGTAGATTGTGTGTTTTCTTGAAATAGGGAGACCCACCAGCTCAACCCCTTGGAGGAGTAAAAAGAGACCTGTTCGTTGGGGAGGCCCCCTATTTTCATACAAATTCACATATTACAACAGCCGCTAGGACGTGATGTTCTAGCTTTGATTCCTCTTCTCTTGGTGGCTTCATCATGGTGCCGAACGGACCAGGTCGAAACCGGCTAAAGACTGCTAGCATGGACAAAAACCTGTCAAAGTCAAAGCCCCTACGTTTGGAACTTCAGAGGGGCCATGCTGGGAATGGCCGGAGTTTGTATGGGTTTTGGTAGTCTGGATCGTTCTGGATCCCCTACAGTTAGCGCGCCAAGGTCATAGGATGAGCTTGTGGTTCAATCTAGTTATAGGAATGCTAATCTACCAGGCAGATTGCGAAAATTTCTTTCTTCACACGCCGGTTTAATCACTTTTCCCTGGATGCATGCGCTTGAACATCGCTACAAAAAATGGCGTGCTCATGATCCCTAGACTCCAGCTCAGGTTCCATACATGTGCCACAGCGCCTTGTGGACCTCTGACCGTGTCCACATTGTTTCGCAACAACTCCTCCATGGTCACCCAAACCTCATGGGCGGTCCGAAGTGATATTTCCATTTCTGTGCAGGGTTGCTGAGGTATTAACAGGATCGTGCATGAGAATGATAAAAGGTTGATAATATACGTCTCAGGTTACATATGGTTACATGAATCCCTCAACCGGGCTCCCTGAACAAAACATGTGCAAATGGCAAAGACATCCCTGGAGCTGGTCAAGGAGCAGCTGTAGCAGTAGGTAGTAGGTACTAAAAACAAACAGTAGGTGACTGTGGTAGTAGTTGTAGTCGAGTTGCATTAGTCGGAGTAGGCGTGGGTGTAGGCGTGAAAACGGTAGAGGTAGTGTGCAAACGCTGGTGGAGGGTTTCCATGTTGGAACCCTGCGGGTCGAGACGAACTCAGTCAAACCTCACGCACTGACCCTGGCTTGTCGTGACCTCCCCTGCGTTGCCCTGAGATCATGTGACGAAGATCCAAGGGAACCATCTCTGATGCTAAATGCGCACGCACACTGAGGCCACCAAAGGCCAGGCACAAATGTTCGAGGAGAAAAGTTGCCCGGGGCCCGGAAAGCTTAGATATGTATACGGAGAATTCAGGAGATTTACAGATGTTTTTTCCCACTGGTCCCGGAATATTTATTGCTTTGTGCTGTTTTCCCCACCTGTCAGGTAAGGGCTGCTAGATTTTAATGTGAGTTACTTCGCTAGTGCGGGCCGCCAGCTCCGGATGGCAGTGTTACCCGCCACCTCAACCGCCAGCTCCCGACGGCAGTGTTACCTGCCGGACCTCAACCGCCAGCTCCCGAAGGCTGTGTTACCTGCCGGACCTCAACCGCCAGCTCCCGACGGCAGCGATACCTGCCGGACCTAACCACCAGCTCCCCACGGCGTTGTGTCTCCTGCCGGACCTCAACCGCCAGCTCCCCACGCCAGCGTTACCTGCCGGACCTCAACCGCCAGCCCCCCCGATGGCAGTGTTACCCGCCGGACCTCAACTGCCAGCCCCCGACGGCAGCGTTACCCGCCGAACCTCAACTGCCAGCTCCCGACGGCAGTAGTATGTCAGAAAGCATGTCAAAAGACATGACAGACAGAATGTCAGAAATATTGTCCGAAGATGTGCCAGAAGAATGGCAGAAGATATGTCAGAAAGAATAACTGTCAGAAGATATGGCAGAAAGAATGTCACAAAAAAACTCAACCGCCAGCTCCGGACGGTAGTGACCCGGTAGTGTTCCCCGCCGGATCTCGACCGCCAGTCAAAGGATATGCCAAATAGAACGCCACAAAGAATATCAGAAGATAGGCAGAACATATGCCAGATAGAATGCAAGAATGAATGTCAAAAGATATGCCAGAACGAAAATCAGAAGAGATGCCAGAAAGAATGCCAGAAAATAAATCAAAAAAAATGTCAGAATGAATGTCAAAAGATATGCCAGAAAGAATGTCAAAGGATATGCCAGAAAGAATGTCAGAAGATATGCTAAAAAGACTGTCAAAAAGAAGATATGCCAGAAAGAATGCCGAAATACTGTTTCAATACATGCTGAAAAATGGTCAGGATGAAATGTCATGGTGGGGATCATTTGAAGTGAAGTAATGTTTCTGTTTTTGGTGTTGATATAGCTGGAAATGTAGATTTCCAGGTGAGCAGCGTTTTGTGCACCTCGGAGTGCACTTTTGGGAAGCATGAGCGCTGATCTTTACATCGGTCTTACGTCAGATGGCAGATGCCTGGTAGCCCTTAGCATCCAACCTCGGGTGGCGTGGCTCACGGAAGATGTACTATGTTGGAAAAGCACCTTTCCTTTTTTAAGTTTTACCTTGGCAGCCCAGGCAGCGCTGTGTAAACAACGCTGATCTAAGCATTCAAGTGAGATGGCCAAAGCCTGGTGGCCCTCAGCATCCACCGTTATGGGGTTGCGGTGGTCTGATGTGTAACAGCTGGTGAAAGATGCCAAAAAGGTGTTTATGTTAAGTTATGAAAGTTGTTGTTGAATTATATATCTTTCTCCGCCGGTGGAGGGCACAGCACTCTGCGAATTTCAAATAAATATGGCGGGCGAGGGGCTTTGTAAGCTGGAACACAAGTGGCGGCACTTAGAGGTCTGAGTGACATACTGTAAAGTGCACGGTCATTTTTGTGTTGCGTTAAGTAAACCTCGGCGTCCTGATCTTAGCAAGAACACACACTTAGATATATAAGTGTGATTGTCCAGCAAGAGCCAGCTAGTTGTGATTGTCCAGTGAAATGGTCAGACCTTGACTTGCAAAAACGGTAAGGCGAACAGTCCGAGTAACAGAAATGTTTGACATTCTCATTAGCCCTTTACTGGAAATGGGAGCGGCAACTTGGCAACGCCACACAAAAGCAGGTACACAGTCAGACGTCTCTGACCGCATCCCATGACACCACTAGCTTCGTTGGCCAGCGTCGTGATATCATGCGCTCCCTGCTTGAGCTGTACATTGAACATTGGCTTAAGAACAGGGTTTGACACACACAAACACACACGCACACACACGCTTTAACACCTGTCTGCACTTAAACTACGTTTGTTGTTGTGCAAAAAAGGATGCAAACAACAAATGACAATGAGCAAAAAGCAACGCAACGCCAAAACGCACACACTTCAACAAGCGCAAGAAACAAGCAACAAGGAAAAAAGGGAACAGGGGACCGGGGGACCAGGACTAAGATCTGGGCTCACAAATCATAAGCAACAAAATGGAATACATTATTGTTTTTTGACGCACGTGCCCTAGGAGGGAGCAAAGGACCTACATAGGACCAGAAGGACAGGGGACCAACCAAGGGACCAGGGGAGCAAGGGACCAGGTGACTAGGGTACCGAGGGACCAGGGGACTAACGGACCAGGGGATCTGCAGACGAAGGAGCCAGAGGACAAAAAATGTTTTTGTTGATGCGTATTTTTTCTTGATGCTTATCAATGTTTCTTGATGCTTATGTGTTTTCTTGATACCTATCATCCCTCAAAAGCGACAGCAGCAACTAATCAAAGATCAAAGAGACGCATTAAGCAGCAAAAGCAAGGAAAGAAAGAGGATTCACAAAGAAGCAATGAAAAGCAAGGAAGAGCAACACAAGCATAGAAAAGCAGGAAAAGCAAAGAAGCAGTGAGAAGCAAGGAAAAGCAACACACGCACAGAAAAG